AAAGAATTTTTTGTAAGAAAAAAATTAAAGAAATGAGTAAAAAAAAAATTATGAAAAATTAACGCTGAAAATTTTGACATTTCATTTTTTATTTTTTTCGAAAACGAGCTCAATATATTTTTGTAAAGACAGTGGAATACTTCTGTTGTTCTAAAAATTAAGTTTTTTGTGAAATAATAAACCAAAAAAAAATTTTTATTTAATACTCCACTGAGCTTATTAAAAATGCTTTCACATTCAACCCAAAGCAATAAAAAATAAAATCACAAATTCAAATCACAATCTGTTTATCAGACTTTTCGAAATCACATTCATTCCGGTGCGGCTTAGCAGCTATTAGGCGTCTTATTTTATTTAGATTTTACATTACAAGCAAAGAATAATAGCTATGACGTCAATAATTTGGGATTTTTGGGAAGTAACCCACTCCAATTGATTGAGCGGATGTTCCAAGACGATCACAAGTGATGGTGTGGATACTCCACTTGGAAAGATCACCTAGTTTTGTAACAATATAAACCGAGAAGATACATACCACAGCTGCACCACCGATATTTACAACTAAGTCATATTGTTTTCTTACTGGAAAAAGTATTTGATTGGAGGTGCATAACCCTGGATAAACAGTTATTCAAAAAATTCGTTTAATATAACCACGAAATGTACTCTTCACATAGTGCTTTATGAGACAATCGACAATCGAAGAAGGATAGTTCATTTTACCGTTGTCATAAGAACCAAAACTAAGCAACCAGACACCGTTCAAAAGCATATTATAGTGTTGAATTTCAACAAAATCAGTACCGTTAATGCCTGACAAGATATATATGTACAAATGCATGTGGGAATCCCAAGCCGTACACACTCATATTCACGTGAATAATTTTAGGGAGCTTTTTTTCGCTCAACGTCTTTACGTCATTAAATTGACAACTTCCCTCAATAGTTTCTTTATGGTAGTCATAAATTTATACATATTTATTGTAGGCGTAATTTTCAGTGCGTAAAGGCAAGAACTACAATGTTCCAAGCCTAGATATACATCTACATGTGCTGATTGACCATTTTTGAACACGTTTTATTATGATCTGTTACCTTGAATTTTTGTCTGATAATTCAGAAATAAAGTCAATTATAATATATCAAAGAAAAGACGGAACGAGTTTACGCATAATTTTGCAAGAGGCTACAAGACGGAAGAAGCTAAACAGAGAGAAAAAACGAAAAGCAATAGCACGAAAAACGTGGTGTATTCATGGAAGCTTAATGTCACACGTTGGTAAGAAACACATAAACCAAAACTACAAAAACAAAATCAAGAAATGAAAACGAATATTGAACGAAACCAAAAAAGAAACAACACTACACAAAGAAAAAAA